GCACCGCGCTACTGAGAGCGTTCTTCGCTGCCTCGCGCTTCCAATGCAGCAGCCCTGACGTGTGGGAAGACCGCCGCGTCGCGGAGTACCTCTCCTCCATCAAGACGCTACGCTGTCTCATGTACGAGAAGATCTCCAACGTGATGTTCCTCATATGGACAGCCCCCTCGATCGTAACTATACTCCTGTTTGGGTTACTTCTAGTGGGGATATATAAGTATAGGATTTATATAAGGTACTGGATGTTCCTGGCTAAAATCGCAGTTGGCAGGAAATTTATAAGGAAATCGTTGAAGGCGGAGACTTTGCCCAGTAATGGGTACAGGTTCGACGCGTTTGTGTCGTACTGCAACGATGATAGGGAGTTTGTCGCAGAGATGATCAGCCAGTTGGAGACGACGCCACCGTACCTAAAACTGTGTATATATGAGCGGGACTTCGAGATAGGTTCGTTCATTTCCGAGTCAATATTAAATAGTATTAGTCAGAGTAAGTATATAGTTTTAATTATAAGTAATAGCTTCGCGAAATCCCAGTGGTGTCGTTGGGAGACGCAGCTCGCGGAGTACCACAGACTGTTTCTAGAGGACGGCACGCCGTACGACCCGCTGGTGCTCATCAGGGTGGGCGAGGTGGACAACAAGTATATGACAACGACGCTCAAATATCTGCTCAAGACGAAGATCTACCACTCCTGGGACGACAGCCAACCCGAGAGGTTTTGGAGGAAGTTAAGAGATACTTTAGCAAGGAATATTTAGAAAATTATTAAAGTTTGTTTATAATTGATCTCTGTTTTTTTAATGGTGACGCCTTCAAGAAAATAATAGTTAAGTAACACTTTAAAAACAGCAGGAGCAATACCTGCGTCTGCATTATACTACCTTAATATTATTAGCAAAAATAGTATTATAGTACTACTCAATAATAATATACTAATATACTGCCGAGCTCAGGCTTCTTCCAAAATATCACAGTAACTAAATGATCAAGCGATCTTTAGGAAGGGTTACGTCATCATTCAAATCTCCATCGCTACAAAATCAAACGTAATAAAGAAGCTTGTAACATCGCAAATTAGAAAGCTTAAAATCCAATTAAAACTGCCTATATTAAGATGTGGTAAAACCCACACGAAGTAAAACCTTTATTTCCATAAGAAGCGATATGAAAGTTGCAAAATCCTTGAGAAAGTTAAATATTGGAAGATCGAAAGTGTATTAACGCCTGTACTTATCAGACGCTCGTTCGATTTCGCCGACACTTTCTAAGATTTGTTGACACTTCGGTGACCATAAACCTGGCGTTTTCTAGGATAATAATTTCATGCATAAAGAAAATATGCTAAAACAGACGAAAAAAGTTTTTAAAACAACTACTATAAAACTCTGTTGAATTTGCTTTGTATTATCAAATTGGAATGGAAAGCAGTCTTTTGTTAACATGGTCACCCTACACTTGAGGAAAACGAGACAAAGGCGGAGGCGTCGAGACGTGCCAATGCAAAAGGTCTGCACATAATTTACACAAAATACAAACTTTAGACTATTCAACTACGAATCAATAATCGAAATCAATTAATTATAATACTTTGAGTTTTGTTTTTATTTGCGTTTAAAATTATGAAATTATCAATCTACAGTAAATATAAATGCGGATATCCACGACCGTCGAATAACCTCTTTGTGCGCGTTGGTTATGCCCTTCTCAAAATAAAAAAACACAATATTTCAAATTCATTCATATTCCGAATATGAATGAATCTAATACCACCATTGTTATAAATATGTTAATGTATGATCTAAACAAATGAATGGATATATCATAAATAAACACTCAATGACGTCACTTGCCACGTGGCGCCCACGCAACAATATTGCGTGCAGAAATCAAATCTATTTTGTTATCAACTAAGTTAAGAGTCACGAGTTCTTAATATGTTTTGCCCTTACCACTGTCATATCACGTGCGATCTGAATGATCAGGAGATTCGAAATTACAAGTATCGCAAAAGTTTCATTCCAAATTAACTCTAAACAATTATATAATTATCTTAAATACAATAAATATCTAACGTTTAAACATTAAACTTTTAAATTACTATTAATAACTAATTGGGTAATGTCACAGTCGTTTAATTAATCAAAGTCTCTACTGAAATTGGGGCGACTTTCGCAACAAGCAACAAGTCTAACATACACTAGGTCTATGTGAGTGTATATTGACAGTCTCGGTAAATCGGTTAAGCAGTCTCAGAAACTCGTAAACATCTTACTTGTTAGACAAACCGTCCGCTTTGCCACACATGGCTATTAGTTTAGTCTCAAAGGAAAATTGAATGGCGTATAATAGAGGTAAAAATATTCTTTTAGGACAATCGTAAAGAAGAAAGTATTCAAATCCTGAAAAACTGCCACAAGATATAAACGAAACCAAGTCTAAAGCACCTGGTAATTACTTCGCTTACAATGCGAATAAAAAATGTATCTATACTAGTGTTATAAAGAGAAAAGATTTGTATTTTAATATGTATTGAAATAACTCAAAAACTACTGGGCTGTTATTTTTTAATTTCACACGGGCGACAGCGAGCAACAGCTAGTTGTAATATACAGGGTGTGCTGGTACCGCAGAAATTGAAAGAATAGAAAAAATTCTGCCGCTTTAAACGTCTTAAAAAGGTTCAGGTGCAAATTTAACGTTTTGAAAAAGTTTTGAAGTTATCTTAACTTAGTAACACAACAAATGTCGTCAACGCTAGTTACAGCCGTCTCCCAGTGACAGTGTACGCAGAAAGCTGTGCGCTGACAAGCTGACACTAATCAGACAGAGGTAATTAAACCCGATCAGGGTCACCTTTCGATTTTAAAGTGGCAGGTCAATTTGCAACTCTTGTAGGGTGACCACACGTCTATAAAAAGGTTTTATCCACAAAAGGATTTAATACTGATTTTATCATTTATAATCTTTATTTAACATGCTTAAAGCAGAGCATTATACCAAATATTATTGGGCTAAAAGATAGAAAAAATTAGTCACACACGTCATTTCTTAGGAGTAATGATGACATGGGCCCTCTTTTTACTTGTTTGAGACGATCGTTCTAGGAATGCTTCTTTGCTGGCTATCACATTGTTAAATATGTCATGGTAATAATAGTTCCGTTACTTATTTTCTCAACATCATAAATAAAAAAATCATTAAAATCCACCTAACAGTTTAAATAAATTATACGTAATATATTAAAAACAAAAAATGGTAACCCTAATGGGCGCCATTGTTTTGACGCGGGAGAAAACGCCATCTTCATTCAAGATATAGTCGCGGGATAACGGTGCCGAGCACGCGCATGCTCCCCGTCCTGCTCTAACACGTGGCACACGTAGCATGCTGGATAGAGACAGTCGCGTGCGTCGGCCAGTGAACGATTACTCGACTGACCTACTCAATCGTACACACTCTTTCTTGCCAGTAAGCGGAACCTAATTTTTCCGTCGTGTGAATTAGCAATGTAATGCGATTCTAACGTGTTGATAGCGTGAAATAACTATTATAAAATGATTCTACTAAGTTTAATAGTTTAATATTCAATTCTCACGGTAATTAAACTTTTTTGATAAGTCCAAAATATATGATTTTCAACGACAAGGAAGTATTATCATAAAAACTATAAATTACCGATGACAAAGGTAAAATTGAGTACCTATAGGAAATGCGATATAAGATTATCCCACAAGTGTCCATTAAAATTTCCCGTAAGTTTACTAAAAGTAACCATTAAAATGCTTCCACTAATGAACTTAGCAACCACACAATAGAATATTAAGACAAGCACAATATTTTGGGAGCATATAAATCAGCGGTTAGAGTTTGACCACTAAACAACTCCTAGAATAGAGAGACAAGGGTTTAAAAGGGAACCATGTCTAACATAAAAACAAAACCATTGATAATCAAATAGTTACTCTTTTTTAATTAACGATTGTTTTGGGAAGAAGCTCTCATGAGAAACTAAAGGAAAAAAGTACCTACTATCGAAGTCCGCTATCGAAAGTCGTTAATGTTAACTTAAGCATATTCAATTAGAGGAACACTTAGAGGTTCCCTTAGTGCGTATGACACTTTGAGTCCGATAGTAATGTGAAGTTGCTATAAAAGCTGCTTAACACGACCACGACACAGTGGGCAATAGATTTTACAAGCATTTAGTGTAAGCTCTACAAATGGCCTCTTAGCAAACCATTGATTAGTGAATGGTCTGCATTGCTCTAAACTGGTCATTTAATGTTGACTAAACAAGCCATCAATATTCAGTGCGTCGTCTGCTCCCGATACACACGCTGATGCCAATATGTCAGTGCGGAAATTTACTCAAGTAACGCTGTATGAAAATTTAATTAAAAACTCCACTGAAGATGTAGACAATAAAGTAAAGGAAAGGTTTAAATCTATAAAAAACGTCAGAGATACGAAGTGTCAGTAAAGTAAGTGGATATTGACTAACAAATGGGCCCTTAGACAACATTGTATCAGAAGTTAACGGCATCATAACCTACAGATATAGTAATGGCATAAATACTCATAGATTCTGAGATTTATCGACGGAAGTGCGTTAAATGACGCCGTGAAACTGTTACGAGGTGCTGATCTGGTATTGCCTTATAAAACGCACCGGACGAAATCATAGGAGCCGTCCGGCAGTCGCTAGTCTAGTCCCTGACAAGTGTACCGGTTACTTTTCCTTTAGGGTTCTCGATCGCTAGTAAAAATCAAGTGCATCTGATGCAGTCCTTGACGGGGGCGATGCGAAAGCGCCGCAGCCTGTCAGTCGGTGGCCAACCGTGGTGGCGAACGGTTGTATTCACCATGTGCCTGCCGAGCGCGTTCACAGTGAAAGTTCGATAGAGAAATGCGGCTTGCGATCGCCTTTCTGTTTGTGGTGAGTGCTAATTACGTTAAAAGTGCTAACGAGGGTGTTTCCTTAAGTATCGCTTTGGGATATAAAATGCAAATTTTCCCGTGAATGGGAAAGCTTTCGAAGTGATTTCGAGGTGGTATAAATTTGAATATATTATGAATACCTTTTGCCAAAATATTGTGTTAACAATGAGTCAGTGTTCGCCAAGAAAGTGTAACGTCACAAAAAATATATTCACCAAATAATTATAGGTTCTTGAAGTTTTGGTCTCATTTTCAATTTTTGTGTAAAGCAAAAACTGAAAGAGATTTTATCGGTAATCTTAACTCTATACTATATTTTAAGGGTAACTTAATCAATCCTTTGACGTATATATCATAATGTACACTAAGGGACCACCGTGGTAAACACAGTGCGTATGACAGTAACTCATCGATGCCAGTAATCAAATGTGCAAGTATTCAAACAATGCTGTCATGTTTTCAACAAAGATAAGACTCTTAATGTGTTGTGGGAATATAAGGTTCATTGAACCTATCGGAACAATAATTTAAAGGCAAACAATATTTAAATTATTAATATAACTTATTTTAAACTGTTAAAAATACTAATAGTTAGGGTAAACTTTAAATTAATAATAAAACTAAATGGTAACCACTACGATTAGGACTAGGTTTTAATAAGAAAACTCTTGTATTAAATAACGTATCTGCGGTAATCGTTTAACAAAATGTGCATACATTATGTGATTCTAGTCACGTAACCTTATTCCCGTGCATTATAACGTAGTTTAAATGCAGCCTTGCGGTAATTTCTCCACAACTTTCCCGATAACGCCGCAGCGCCCGCGCAACGAACCTGATAGCATCGGCTCACAGATTAACAATTGTAAAGTAAAAAAAATAAGAATTACGAAAATTAGGGCCTGTCCCAGCACTGGCTGGTAGATGCTCAAATAGCTTAAAAATGACGCCACTGTCCGATGTGGTACCAAAATCCAACGTTTCCATTACATATTTAACACGTTGGACGTTATCAGACAATTTACAATCTGGTGGGACAGACCCTAAAACTCGTAATCTAGTGGTTCACTATGAGCCCCCTGTAATCAGAGGAATAGAAGCTAGATATACCTAAAATTGTTAAACGTCTTGAGTAGTTGCGAGCAGTCACAAAGTTCTTATCTATAGATGTTTGATTGAATCTTATAAAATCTTCCAGTAAGAGATCAAACCAGGATTTTAATCTCTTTTGACAACACAATCACTGGCCTTTCGTTCTTGGTAATTAATTTTGAACTAATCTGATAGTTTTTAGAGATTTAGGGTCCCATCACAGGCTCAGATAGCTTAAAAGTGACCTCACCGTCAGATAGAGTACCAAAATCCTTTACCTCCATCACATGTTTTATACGTTAGATTGTTATCTGAAAATTTACAAAAATTGTGGGACAGGCCCAAAGTTTACACAATGAAAAAGTCGATAAAAGTAAATAACAGAGCATAAAAACGATTTAGATTACTAAAACAATACTCGCACGTAAACAATATCAAAGAGAACTTAAGTCGAACCATAGCAACGGGCGCAAGTTAGAGAACGTGGGAATGAGGCCGTTTGATTACGCACCCACATTTTAACGACCACTATATAATGACCTCTGTGTAGCGAATTTGTCGTAATTGCAAACACTATTCAATTTTCTTTTATAACAGACAATTAGTGCATAAAGGATGCTACATAAACCACTTTAGTGTCATGCATAGTTAAGTTCATAAAAACTTATAAAAGCTCCAATTGAATCTATCAACAATGAAAATTGGAAGCTTTTCGTAGCTGTCTACGAACGATTCTCCTGTTTGAATATCCGAAACAGTCAAAGCTAGTACAAATAAAACTTACGATTTATAATTTTTTATAGGAAATAGTGACTTAATTAGAGACTGGAAACTTAAACTTGGATACAGCTGTAATTAACACCTTAACTGTACCTTAGATTTTATTAACTTACACTAAACCATGCAGCCTGATTTTACTGCAATAACGCGATTATTAACTCGTAGAATATTAACAAGTGAAGTTATATAGACGCAGACAAAACACAACTAGCGAGAGATAGATGGTCTATCGTTTACCGACATTTCTCAGTAATAGATCGATAATGTTGCCAGAAACTGTTAAAATTTGAAATGATTTATTCCATTTGTATAGATACAAAATCATTGCACGATAACCTTGACGACAAAAAAGTGCTACGAAAAAGAAATTAGAACAAAATGATGTTAGAACAACTTAAAGGTTTTGTCCAAATAATCATCTCTAATTTGTTTGACTAAAGATTGTTTGAATTACCAATAAAATATTATAAAACCATTAATTTGCTATAATTACAGGCCATTGGCGACAGTTAGAATCAATTTAAAAGCAACATATGAAGGGAACAAGTTTCCCATTTGAGGGCATCCGTTCGACTTTTCTATCTCTTGGAGTTCTAATATTTTTTCTAAGAAGTTGGCAGCCCTACATGATATATCAGCCAATTCATAGATATACATTTTATTTCAATCGTAATTCAGCCACTGTTTTTAAACTAAAAATTGATAAAACTTACATACATATAAAAACCAACGAAGTAAAAATCTTACGAAAATTCGCCTTAAACTTGTAACTAAACAGTGAATTTTTCCTTTGTATTACTAACTTTTAAATGACATAACATGTCATAAATGGCGTTAAGTGATGTGACTTATAATTTACATCACAGCAGGCGACAAGCGACAGGCGACAGGCGACAGGCCGGCGAAAGTAGCCACCGCGTCGCCTCGTTGCTTCACTAGTAACCCAGTTACCTCAGCCGGCCATTTGGTAGATAAATTCATTTGTTCGTTAATTTTCTTTTTATCTAAATCACATTTATTATTTTACATGCGTTTCTCTATAACAGTAATTTGTGGAGAAAGTGTTTGTTCTCATGAAGATTGGGTACATTTAATTTGTGGGTACCATTATTGCAGTAATAAATATTGCACGAGTAGAAGAATTTTCTATTACTTCAAAAGCGATCTTTTATGATCAAACCATTTCTAATTGCGCAGACAATTAGAACAACACAACTTTCTGGTAGAGTAAATACTATTGTTCTTATTTTAATTTCAGTTTAAGTTATAAACTGTACCACAAAGGGACAAAGTTGTCGATATTCCGATTGGTTATCAGATAAATAGATCGCCGGTGTCGCTGTGACGTCACACGCTCCCAAATACCGACGGTCACTTTCACTGGCGTGTCCCGCACCTGCCAGTGTGACACGCACCTTACCTTTTGTTCCTTATATAACCATGCGTCTCTTGCAAACTGGTTTTTAATGTTTCCTGATGGGTATGTTTACAAATTTTTATTGATTTGAAGATTACGGATGTAGAACTTAAATCAATGCTAGCTGGTTAGACAACCAATGTCTTATTTAAAGTGAGTTCTTCAAATAACAAACCGTATAGGTTTTCTCAAAAGTTCGGAAACTGTTGACTATTGCTGACTGCGATTACTCGATTTAGTGAAATCCAAGAATTCTAAACCCAGATACAGTTAGCGATTAACAACCCACTTGTTACTTTAAATGTCGAATGAGATGCGTTGAATTCGGTACATTTAATATTAACGGTACCGCCCGGTAGCGCGCGCATCACTCGCGGGTCGCGGCAACGTCGCACATCTGTATTGCCGTCTCTATTCTTTGCTGCTCATTACACAGATTTTACGTTACACTTTTTTCTTCATTTTAAAACTCAAATCTAGAAAGGAAAGCGTAGTAAGATCTAAATTATCCTTTATCTTGGGTGTAACAATCATTGCTCGGAGCAAACCTCTTATCGAGGGCGTCCGAATCTAGTTTGGTGACCGAAACGAAAGTAAACGTCGAGTGTCACACGCTAATTGTGCTCTGATTGGGAGCCAGACGGTTTCACTTTTGCCTAGACTTTCTACGCTCTCTCTGCGACAAGGATGGCAGCGTAAGGAGCGAATTAACACCACACCAACTGTGGCGATGTGTACTAACAATATTAACTAAGTAAATCGTTGATAGTTGTGTAACTAGAGTATATTTAGGTTTTCATAGGCTGTTAGATTTTTCCAAAATGGGATTTGAAGGTTTATAGAACTCAAGCTTTACTAAAAACCGATCTTTTCTGTCCGCAAGTAGGCGACGTGGCAATGGTGCGATGCGTACGACTACGCGTCGGCGTGCGCGCGGCCGCACCGGGCGAGCCGCACGCGCGCCACGCCCCGCGCGCCGCCCGCCCCGCCCTGCGACCTCGCGCGCCACGCCTACTGCGCCACGCCGGGCAGCGGCTACCCCTGGCATGCCATACGCCGTTTTGTGAAAGAGAATCAGGTACGGAAGAAGAAACCCACAACATCATATTTCATAATAACATTTAAAATGCGAATCTTTGGACGGATGGATAAAATTATGCACATATGGAGATTAAAGTCTGTAAGAAAACATAGGATACTTACTAAGAAACTAGTAATTAAATAAATCAAATTAATTTCAATATATAACATTTGTCGTTTTAATGATTCCAGGGATTGATGAGGAGAATGTATGGCGAAGAGCGTCACATATCAGTACTGAAGGCTGAACTAGAAAATTTTATAGAGGACGACGACGAGGACAGTAGGAAAAAGTCCAGTGATTTCGAAGAGGATATCATAAAAGCTAAATTAATCTACACAAAGAAAAGTCCCGGACGTGCCATGAGAGACAAACCTCACTTTAGACCGATACAGACAGATAAACATAAGAAATTTGACAATGACACTTTAAAAGTGAAACCACTAGAAAACTACACAAATAACTCAAGAACAAACAGCACTAACAATAACAACACTACCGAGATCACAAGCAATGAAACGATGATTGATGAAAAGGAAGTATCGTATAAAACCAAATTACAAAGTATAGCTAACATCGAAATAAATAACTTAGATCAGGACGTGATAACTTTAGAAGCGGTCATCAAACAAACTATAGAAACTAACAGCTTATATCCAACATTTCTAGGAAGTTCAAAGAGTGAACCTCTGAGAGACGATAGTGACTACAAGAATAACACTGATAGGAATGCAACCACAACAACAGAATACTCCATTAATGCAACAGAAACAACTTACGTGCAGTATGACGATACGACAACGGAGTCTGTTAAAGACGGATGGAAGCCGATGTCCGACGCGTCCACTCTGCCGCCTACTCTGCTCTTCTCTGAACACGAGAAAGTCAAGAACGACAAAATGGATACCAAAGTAACTGATAAGAAAGAAGAGACATATCCAAAGCCGACGCAACCAGAATCAATGAGACCGTCGGTGATTAAATTAAGAGGAGCGTAAGTAACTTCTTCACAAAATGCAACTGTTACTTAGAAAGCTACTTCCTTTAAGTTCAGGATGTATTTTTTAATTGGTGACTTTTGCAGCAACGCTTGTGAATCCAAAGAGGAGATGGCGGCGCCGTTCTGGGCGAACAGTACTCGCGGTGAGGTGCTGGCGTTGCTCAATATGTACCCCTTCGAGCAGTACATACATCTGGAGACCTGCGTGCACGAGCGTAAGCAGATGTACTGCAGGGAGGGCTGCCGGTATGTTGTCCTTAGGTTTAAATGCCTAAAGCTATAAGTCTTACCACCTATATCACATCAATGCACACACTACAACTACAGCAGTTAAGATTCACGGTTATTATCACATCAGATTGGACCTTGTTAGAATGTCTACTATTTTGGAAAGTTCTAGTCCACATTCCGTTTTACACGACAGCTACTAATTTCAGTTGTCATTTCCAGTTGCGAACAGCAGTATCGCTTGCACCGGCTGCTGGCGTACGACCCTCGCAACGAGTGCCGAGGTATTTTCGCGGACTGGTTCAAGTTCCCGGCATGCTGCGTGTGCCGCTGCTACGACGTGCCGCTGGAGTTCCGCGCGCGCTCGCCGCGGCTGCTCCGCCCGCAGTACGACGAGCATGTACGACAGGTCATTTATGAAGATGCAGCTAGAGATTGGTACTCTATGGCGTATGATGAAGATGATGACTTTTACTGATTGTAAGTACTTTGTATTAATATTTTTAACGAGTTAATCGTTATTCAGAGAATAACTGAAGTATTTCTTTTTAAATTTTCAGGTGACTTTTCTTAACTCTAAGCTGTCAAAACCATCTAAAGAAACTGGAAGAAACCCACCTGTACATCTTTAATTTTGAGAAAATTCTTTTAAATTGAATTACCGTGTAATATAAAATATTACATTTTTTGCAGTACTTTACATTTTTACGCCCATAAATTAATGACAACTTCTAAACAAACTAGTTATGTAAGACGAAAGTTAAAATCGACTGTTATTTAGTGACTATATACTATTATTTATTTTTCTAATGTTAAAACTTTGTAATTTAATAACATAGTTAATTACCCTTTAATATTGTTTTTAAACTAAAACTTATTTTTAAGGCTAGTGAAATTGTAAAATGTGTTATATAAACTATAGTGAATGTTTTAATTATAATGTGTGTTTGAGAGTTTTATTAAAGTTTACTCGTTACATAAACACTTTTATTTGCTGTTTTATTTCATGAAGGTGTTTTAAATCCCACCTAAAACCCATCCCAGCCTGGTCACTATGTTAGTGTCAATCGAGTCAATTCAAGTTCTCAAGTCGATCGCTATCCAAATATTTAAAAGCGACCCTCATCACTAATAAAGAATAACATGCCAGAAGTGTCTTTCGCGATGTCCGAATTTACCCACTTCCGATGCGTTATGCGGGAGACTGAAAATAAGACTGGTAACCCGCATTAACCTTGTCTAACATAACATCGTATAGTTCTCCATCACATATGGACGAATATGCTCACATATCTGTGCAGAAAAATATGTTTTTTTAAAAAATTATTGAAGTGATCGCATCGATATTATAAAGATCGATTACTAATTTTGGTCATTATTATTCTAGACAAAGTTGCAGTTTGTTAGACACATTTTCTTATAGGTTTTGCCCTCTGAATCTTTGTCTTCAATTAGACGATTTATACGACAATTTTATAAATAAATATAAAGTTAAAAAAATCCTTTCGAATCTGAATGTTATCTTTATGTATTCTGCCACAGCTGTTGACCTTTTTATAATCTGTGTCACCGTAAGCATTGTCTTGACATTAAAGTACGTCAGTGTCAGTTGTGTCAACAAAAGCAAAGCCGAAAATCGACGAACATTTTAGATTTATTTTAGTTACATTATTGTAGTTCGTTGTTTAATTATATGTAAATAATTATTTTAAGTTATACATAGATTATACTAAATATTGCTAATTTAAAGACATCGTTAAATTTATATTTTAATAGTTGATTGCGTAGATTCAAAATGTCCGGGAGAGCGAAAAAGGCCAGCGCGCCGAGGAAGAAAGCAAATGGCTATAAAATGCCTGCACCGATTCCTCTAGGTGAAGTGATTCACGACACAATAGCTAAAAAGAAATGGCGCATCGGCCCTTCAATAGGAGTTGGCGGTTTTGGTGAAATTTATTCAGCTTGTGAGCATGAGGGATCGCCTAAGAAAGGTTCAAATTATCCATATGTCGTCAAAATCGTGAGTATTTCGATGAATTATCTAATCTATTATGATTTACCAAGAATTCTTAGAAAGAAAGTTAAATTATTTAATTTGAATTCCAAAAACATATCAATACCCTTTGTATTCAAAATTAAACAAACGAAACGAAGTAAATTGAAGCTCTAATGTCCTTTTCTGTGAAACAATCAGATAAGATACCTTAATTACTCTGGCATTGCCAGGATTCATTGTTATAACCTCAACTATTTGTAAAATGTTTCTCTTATATAGGAACCACATGAGAATGGACCATTATTTGTGGAAAAACATTTTTACATTAGGAATGCCAATAAGGATGACAGTAAGTTTATAATTTACATGTTTATTACAAAATAATAATTTGAATTAAAGTAAAGATATATGTGAAACAAAAATTTAAATGTTTTCAGTTTCCAAATTCATGCAAAGTAAGAAATTGTCATCATTAGGTATGCCGTCATATTATGGTAATGGTTCACATGACTTTAAAGGAGAGAAATACCGGTACTTAGTGCTGGAGAGATATGGCAAAGACCTGTGGAGCTTGTTCAAAGATTCGGGCCGGTCATTTCCTGTGCCAACTGTCTTTCAAATTGGATTGCAAATGGTAATTGTTTTAAATCAGTTAAAATAAGAGATAAATTTGTAATGTAATAGTAATTTTCAGAAAAGTCAAAAAGTTTTGTAGTTCGAATTTTGTATCAGAGAACTAGCTGTTGCTTGTGACTTTGCCTGCAATAAAAAAATGAAAATATAACCTATGTTACTCACTGATATTGTAGCTTTCTAATGGTGAAAGAATTTTTGAAATCGGCCCTGTAATTTTTAGGTTATTACAATACACACAAAAATATAAACCGTTTCACTTTATAATGCTAGTATAGATAATACAAAATGTGCAAAGCTATGTAATTATGAAAATTATTAATATACCTTTGACCTCCCCTTCATGTCAAATTAGTTTTATCATAAATTATTTTGTTTTTTATATTTTTAGTAGATAATGTCTGTTAAAATGCTCATATTTTTAGTTGGATGTGCTGGAATACATACATAGTAAAGGTTACGTCCATGCTGACATTAAGGGAGCTAACATACTACTGGGTCTAAAGAAAGGCACGGAGAACCAGGCATTTCTTGTTGACTTTGGTCTCGCTACAAGGGTGAATGACAAGGAATTCAAGCCAGACCCTAAATGTGCCCATAATGGTACTATTGAGTACACCAGCAGAGATGCACATGTTGGAGGTTCGTGGGTCCAATGATTGTAACTTTTAACTTCAAGATATGTATTAAAGTTTTACTTTATTAAGTTTTACACTCATAAGAAAAAATGTAGCACCCAGTTAATAAGAACAAAATAACAAATCTATATATATATTTTTTTTTTATAATACGAGGTGGCAAACGAGCAAGCGTGACCCGAATCCACCGAAGTGGAAAACGACCGCTGCCCATAAACATCCGCTATTGTAGATGCGTTGCCAACCCTAATTGACGGAGCAGGAGACGCACATAAAGAGGACATTTCCCCTTCCTATGCATCTCCTTCACCGTCCAATCCACTTTTTCCTCCCATCCTTTCCTCTTAAGAAAAGGGTGGAATGGAAAAGGGACTAAAATTAGGCCTCCGGCACCATACTCATCAGACGAATCGCGGAGTTGCTTTCACTTCACGCCTGTTTTCTGTGTGGTCGTGGTATTACACCGGGCGAGCCGGCCCATTCGTGCTAAGATGTTAAAGCAGGCTCTACCACTGTTAACTGTTATAATATAATAATTTTTTAGTATTGTTTATTGTTTAAAGAAAGTTTAAATTGTGTAGTGGCGACTATGCGGGGAGACCTGGAGATACTTGGCTACAACATGCTGCAGTGGATAGTTGGGGAGCTGCCGTGGGAGAAGCACCTCAAGCAGCCCAAGACTGTGCAGACCATGAAGGAGGCATTCATGAAGAATGTCCGCAGCGAAATTACCAAAAACTATCCAAATGTACCTGGTAAGTGACATTTTATTCAATTTGAAGTTTTACATAATGTAACCTTGTGTAAATTTACATTAGTTGTAAGATGTAGGAAATTAGTTATTAATGCTAATAGTCAAAAACAATCTTTTCCAGATGCATTAATTAAGTTTTTTGAATATATTAACTCTCTCAAGCCAAAGGAGCAAGTGAATTACACAAAATGTCGACAAATCTTAGAATCTCACCTAAAAAGTGAAGGAAAAACAAAGACAAGTAAGTTAGAGTTCAAAAATACGAAGAAACGAAAACCCAAAAACGATACAACTGAAGACACAGATGAGGTTGATGAAGAAATCGAAGAGGTAGAAAAGAAAGATACTAAAAAAAAGAAAGTTGTCAAAAAAGCGGTCAGCAGAACAAAGAAAGTTGAAAAACCAGTCGAATCAGAGACTGAGGACTGCGAAAACGAGGAGCCAGTTGAGAAGCCGCGAGCTAAGAAAACTGTAAAGAGACCTGTTAAAAGGAAATCATTGGAACCGTCGCTAGTTATTAAAGTGAAAAAAAGTAAAATGACACCAAAAGCGACGCCACCCGCTAAGAAGAATCATACCAATATAGCGACACAGACCTCGGTTGAGCGACCTAAACGCAGCCCGAGACAGGTGTCCTTCGATAGCCCCATCTGCGAGATAATTGGTAGTAAGAAACCATTCAGTGCAGCAAAAGATAATAAATCAGATACCAGCGGCGACATATTTGATGATTCGTTTACATTAGAAGGCAAAAAGACTAAACCAAAGAAGCGTTTGTGCTCCGATGAGGAGATTTCAGTCACCAGAGTGGTTAAGAAGATGACAATGAGGAGAGGCAGGTCGTGGAAGGACACACCGGCGGTCGTCAACGGAAGATCACCACCGAAGTAACAAAATACCTTGTTTTCACTTGCTGTGAATCAGTGAAGGGCAAGTTACACTCAATTGGCATATCAATTAGGATTTGGTAGTTTTTAAAATGCATTTTGTTTGGATGATTTACAGTATAGCAGTAAAAAAGCCTTTAAGAAAGCTATAATAATAGGATAGCAACATGAAGTATTACATAAACCATGTTAGAAGTACATCTGATTATGGATGCAAAATTACCGGTAAGTTTGTTAAATGATTTCCGTAAAGATAGAATAATGAATAAACCATGTGTATAGAATATCCTAAATGTTTTTCATTACAATTAATGAGTGAAAATAATTGAAAATGGTAACATGTTTCGTGTTGTAAATTAAATTATAAAATCCTCGTAAAACTTTAAGATAATTAGTGTTCTTATTCTCATATAATTTTAAGGACCATAAATAATCGTATAGTGTTTAAAATCTACAACTTACATAGCATTGAATACTTTTTTTACTAACTAGAATATTTATAGATAACACCAATTACCAACTATATCTACCATATTATATGAATGTTAGTGGTCCCAGCTGTGTGCCCTGAGGCACACCAGAAGTTTTTGTTTAATGAAAGTGTTAAATAATTTTGTAGTCGCTATTTATGATATAATTAAACACAATGATTTGAGTAATGAAGAGATATCGCCATCAATATTTAGTTTGAAAGGTTTTTTGAGCATAATACCCTCATCAGTCCTGTCAAATGCCTCATTGAAAATGTTACGAGCAAAATTTTTTTACTTTTAACTTACAAAAAAAAGGCAGTTCGGATTCGTCTGTTTGTTTTCTGTTACTGCATGTCTCAATTCTTGGTTGTTTCATTTTTATTTTATTTAGTATAATCTGTAATTTTAGTTAGTGTACTCATTTTCATTTCTTTTGCCATAATCACAATCCCACCATTGCTACATAAACTTGGTTACGCAGATTCTGGTATTTATTTTTACTTAGTTTTTAGTTCCCTTTATTAATTAATTATCTTATTCATTTTGTAACTGCTGGTTCTGATTCTACACAAAAATTGCATTTGTCTTTCAAATTTCTTTTACTTCTACTGGAATATTCTTACTCTGATTTTTTTAATTTGAATTGCCACATATCAAATTATACAATTACTCCTTTTGCAGTTCCAATAACTGAAATTTGAAGACAAAATTCCTCAAAGATCTTTAACGATTGAATTCTTCTCTTCCATCTTAATCTTACTAATATTTTAAATGCGAATTTTAAAGATGGATATATGTTTGTTAGAGTTTTTAGCCTAACAGCTAAAGGGACCTTGATGAAATTTGGCATAAACATAGTAGACAGTCAAAAAACACAGGCTACTTGCTTTTGTTTTTTTTTAACTCCACGCGAACGGAGTCGCGGGTAAACGCTAGTATGATATAAAGTCAGTCTTGTTGTTAAATAAAAGGAACATTTTACTATATTATCTTACCACTTTACCTGATTACTGTTATAGATAAAAATATTTCAATTGTCTGTGCCATGAATCTGTGTTCACAATCGGAATCTGAATGTAACCACATAAATATAATCGAAGTCCTGCCTTATTTACTTGTGTTTAATTTGTTTTGGAATTGACATTACATGTAAGAAATAAGTTTCATCTTCAACCGTCTACAATGTTACTTCAGTAATTGTTAAATGTACTCTTGAAGTGTTTTGTACAAATAATTTGTTATAATATAATCTGTGTCATATTTGAAATAGTAAACTATTAAGTAAATAACCGCCTCTAATAATAAAATCGTTATTAGCATTTCCATTCACTATTTGCACTGTTATGTGATTGTTTGGAGCCAAATTTTGTATGTTTTTGGTTCTCTGATGTTCGTGTCATGTATGTGAATAAATTGTACTTCAATATATTTCTTTTTCATTCCATACCTACAATAAGTAACATCTGCATGTTCTGAATAAAACAAACGCTCAAATCCAAAGCTTTTATTTTTATTTACAATATAATAGTAATATGAAAGTAAACAAAATGTAACGTACCAAAAAAATTACATTTAGAAATTCAATAAAGGAGTGTCCGGTCGCCGGACGCTCCGCGGTTACAAAAGCTAAATACATCTAACTTGTGAGTGATACCTCGCTACGTCACTGCGCCCCCCCCCCTCCCTACACCCGCGCCCGCGCCCCCACACGGCATTGACTAAAACACAAAACATTAGCACCATTTGTAAAAAAATATTCTTTTAAACACAACAGAATTCCTTAGCCCCCCCCTCGGTCCGCGGCGCGCCTCATCCGTACACACACAATAAACCTATACACAACGTGAACTGCTCTAAAATACAGTAAACCTTAATGTTAACATTATAAAAAAATCACTATTTACGCCGTTACAGGAACATTATTTTTATATGCAAAAACTATTTAATTCTGCAATAATTGCAATCGGACTAGTATAGATTTTGAAACTCCATTTTGTCATGACCTCATAGCACGGAGTCGCGACGTGCACGCGGTTACGTCGCGTGCAAGGCGCCGAACATTCTCACCGATGTTAAAAAAAATCGAGCGAACTATCATGAAGCATTAACAGACTAACTTTTGAAATAGTATCACTATACCTGAGACAAGAGAAAAAAGATCCAAGAGATCGAGTTTGAAGGTGACATTGACATGTCTTAAGTTTTCTAACTCCCGAACACTGAATACTCTATTGCAAATAAGATTATTTTAAAATCGATATTTGAAAACTGTTTAATAGAAATCTATTGCATGTTTTGTGACCTTTGAATACACAGTATAACGTAAAGTGTTAAAGGAAACGAACATCCCAGCAGTGGGCAGTGGGCAGTGGGCAACTGAAGACAATAGGATGGATATCCCAGTGGATACGTCTGTTATCCTTAACACTAAATCAACTCTTACACTAAGTGGAATAAAATTAAATCGTAACACTAAAAGGTACAACTAGACACGTCACTAAACTGCGAGGTGGCACGGGCCAGCTACATTCAGATTATTCCCAACCGCCTTCCCTCTCTGTCCCCACGTGAGCATATTTTCATCCGTTCCACCTTCACCAATAAGGTGACAGATGGGAAATAAAATAAGTTCCAACCGTCCCCTCTTCGCAAAAGGTAGTTCGGATGATATTTTATTCTCATCTGTTCCCACGTGGGGACAGAGCGGAGTGACAGTTGGGAATAATCCCTACATTCCTACACTACAAGTAGACAACTTTCACGTAAATACTCACAAAAACTGTATAAACGTTACAGATTAACATACAATTTGTCCTACATTAACATTGTTAATGAATCCACTAAAGTCCGAATCGGTTCAGTATCTCATACGCACCGTTTGGACAAAGACATTATTTTATTTAATTTTCGTCTAATAAATTATTACAATCTATTAACAAATCACTGGATATCACTGGTTCGTTATCTACGTGAAAGTTGACTCTAATATGAAATTAAAACAATAATGCGAGCGCACGTTTCGAGAGCAATTCACCTAGGGACTTAGAGTCGAGACCCCGAGCTCTGTTCCTAGTCTTGTGCAGACTACAATGACATACGGCAGTCTTATTGTACTAAACTCCGGTCATCACTTCCCGAGTTAAACCCGAGGAAGCATCCAAGTATTGTTTGGTGTAGAAGCTTATAAGCGTTATCGCTTACAAAATATTTCCCTAACCGATTTCAATTACTATCGGGGATTTCTATAAGAAATTCAGTGGGCAAGGCGCGCAGTCGGCGGGAGGAGCCGTACCAAGGGCGGATCATAACCCCCCCGTGGGCTGGTTAATCAATAAAATATATTTACATATTTTGTCAAGCTCTTGACTTGGCCACGACTATGTGACCCCCCCTGGCGCCAAAGCTGGATCCGCCCTTGAGCCGTACGAGGAGTCCACCGTCGGGGGAGAAGACCTCCATTGAAAAATGGGAGAAGTCTTTCTACTACCTAGGTTACTTTTGATCAATAGGAGTCACCTATATCCCCCGTCGGGGGAGTCCTAAAGTCGACGCACACGCCCGCGGGGTTTTATAAAATACGTTTATTGTATAATTTGGTGTGGAGTCAGCAAGCGCTGGACTATTGAACACGCGGGACTAGTAGGATGTGGTACGATAATTGCACTTATGTAAGACAACAAATATCCGGCGGGAGGACGCTCGCGGCTGCAAATAAATGATCACTTCGAATGTTATAACTTAATTGACACTTAAAAGAAGCTTTAAAGCTTGTGTAGTGATGAAAAATTCAACAATAGTACTGGTAAATTTACTTGCAATGTTTTTTTTATTCTTTTACTTTCGATCGTGTTATCATTTGTTCGCAGCCGCAAGTCAATGATTACATTAGCTTAAATCTTCTATATAATTAGACTATTAACGCATGGTGGTGTCTCCGATACCTACGGTACGGTCAGCAAAACTAACCATCGTAATAAAAAATATATTTGTTTTCAACGCTACTCGCTCTGGAGTCAGTACTACCGCTTTAAACTGTATTACAAATGTAAAAAAGTGCTAATTCGCGTGACATGTAAAAACTACGAATAACATAAACATTGTATTCTCCATTATATAACTGTACATTGGTTTTGTTTTTGTAATTTTGTTTTTTGCATCAACAATATGAAAAAATGAAAACATCTTTTTCTACACGTTTTGAACACATAATTCCTGTAAATAACAGAGTCCGAGCTTGTTCTTCGAGTCATTATACATAAAAAAAATTAAAACAGAACACACTGTATATGAAAATACAATCATCAACAAAACACATACCGCACATTACTTTGTCATCGGTAAAAAATGTTTTAATAAAGTAACAAAGTGAGTGTCCAAATATAACAAAAACCAATCAATAAAATTTCATGTGTGAGAATAACAAAAAAAAATACAAAAAACAAGTGAACATATGAAAAATAGAGCAAAAGCTAAAGCCTACATTTGATCGGTAATAAAGACCAAGCCCGGAGATTTTATAAACATTTCAACACTTTTAATACAAAATTTGCGCAATCAAAATAAAAAAAAAGATTTGTGTCATAAATTCTCTTTGTAAACTGTCAACTGTTCCATTCGTTACACATCAAAAAACAATTTTCCCATCAACTGTACATTCGGAAACAAAACACATGAATATTTAAACAACTTTTTTTTTAATATCGCTAACAAATATCGCGAAAAACGAAGGGAACAGTTAAGGTGAGAAAGTTAAAAAGATAACAGTGTAGATATAATTTGTAAATTGCACATCGCTGGCTGCGGAGTGGGCCACTGCCCGGACAAACTACATTAGGCCTCTCTCACAACCCTTGCATTATGTTAATTATTTTATACATATATAATTAATATTTAAATCGGCACACGCACGACCATCACATTATCCTGTTTTTTTTTTCACTTTGTAAATTTATTTTAAAAATTGTTCAACGATTTTCGCGGCGATTGTACTAAGAGTATATACAGCATGATTCATTACCCGATATCGACAGCTGTAATAAATAAATAAATATTTATAATTACGAATTTTTAAACCTAGTAACAAGCATTTCGTATGATAAATGTTTTTTTTTACATCCAATAACCACATAGAGTACAGAACTGAGTAATAACTAAGTGCTAAGTCGATAG